GCTCTACGCATGTCCTTATAATGTCTACCATAACATTACACTGAATAGCGATTAACTAGAGCGCCTGTCATCATGTCAGACAGCATAATGTCAATTCTCTCTCAGTTTGAACTAAGAGCAATTAAATGTATTGTGAGGAAAAGCTGCTTGTACTGTCGAGATTCTCTATTTTAGACGTTTGTTTCTAGCATTTGAATACTACGCCCCATCGTCATAAGTTCTATGTAAAGGTTTTTTCTATATAGCAATGACTCAGTCGAATGTCTCTCTTTTCCTGCGCTGAGTCGGATAACCGCAACACAACTCTATCATCGTCCTCGTCTCACGTCTCTGCTCTTTATACTCCAAATAATATCAGATAAGATGCTCGTTAACATGACCGTAAACAAGATCGCTCCTAATACGAAATTGAAAGCTGGATAAAGTAAGTCTAATTAATAAAAACAAGCATAGCTTACTCTTATATATTAATGAAAGGCCCGAGCTTATCACCTGTATATAATAAACATAATGAAGATAGACCGTATTGTAGGATGTGATAAGACAAAGAATGAAAAATATCAATATAAACTTCACATCTCATATATGCGTCATGAAAGTAAAATTATTAGTGACAACATCACAACTTTCGATCTAGCGACAATTATCACCAAATACATTCGTGTCCTCTCCTAGTAATTTTTGAAAATAACAACTATAAGACAATTTACATTTCTGACCGCATTCCGATAGGATATCTGCAACCCAATGAAATACTATATTCGCAATTAATTATACTAGTTCTTCCTGCGTTAATCACTACTTGCTACCACTTCAGCAATTGTACGTAACAATAAGCATATGTTCAATATCAATTTGGTATTATTATGTATAGTACCTTTAGTTTCGTTTATATACGGTGTGATAAATCTCTCTAGCCAAACGAACAACGTGTTGCGGAAACCAAAATTTATTTATCATGCTGACAATGAAGCGCTATCAGCATCTATCTACCTGTCAGCTAGCTCTAGAATTACTGTCCTAGCTCTAACCTACCTGTCCACTACCCACTTACTTCAGCTAGCTACTACACCTACCTGTCCCTATTCATCTACCGTCCCTAGGCTCTAGCGCTACGCATTCGCTAAGCTGGTAATTACGCTTCCACTAGCGTCTGAAAGGGTCGTATGCTAAACAGTCTACAGATATGTACCCGAGTACATATATGTAGTACACAAAGGACCAACTTA